ACTCTCATAGTATCACCACCTTTCTTCAAGGACTGCAACTTATAATGAAGGCTCATGACCGCAGTGGTTGATCGTGCAGAAAAAAAATTGCAACACAGTGTTCCAAACAGCTGAGGCAGATTCAGCACCAACAAATTGAGGAAGAAGAGGGGCACTAATGGTGGAAAGAAGCCATGAGGCGAGGGAATTGTCTTGTGCAACAAATTCTTCATATTCTTCATTGATCTGAGCAACACCGTTATCATCAACAATTGTTTCTGGTGGTGTGGAAACTGCACCAGTGAGCAGTCGTTCCAGCCTATGGCTGCGAACAGTCAGTAGAACTTGTTGCTTCCAAAGAAGGAAGTTCATTTCATCGAGCATAACGTTGACCTTCTTATGGGAGAAGGTCTTCGAGTTTTGGCCAGGAAACTCCATTGTTGCAATCGTTACACAGCAGAAGCTAGGCAAAGAGAACCAGGACCATCGGCGATTGATACCATATTGGATTATGCAATACTTGAATATTGAGATATTATTGATTTGCTATCACATATGTACAACATACTTATATACAGAAGGAGAATTCAAGAAAACAACTCTAATAGGAGCAGTTAAGCCTAACACACCACAACCGTTCCATAACAGAATTACATCTCATCAATTAACCAGCTCAGCATTAATTGACTTTCTAGAAGTCGCAAGCTAAATATGCAGTATGCCTCTTCCTCTAATAGTTCACGCCAGGATCTTTCCTTGGTGGTCCTTTGGATTTTATTGTTTTAATAAAAAAAATATTAATTTAACAAAATGATTTTTCCTATCTTGGAGAGGTTGGTTGGGGACAGGAGTTGAGTAAATACCTTTTATTACCCCTTATGTATTAATAGTGAGCAAAAACATGAATAGGAATGCCAATGGGACTTTACCTGCAAAATTCACAGAACTAGAGACAAAGGTTCACAAAGCTCAAACTAGATGATAGTTGGGCCTACCCAATCCTTTCTAGTCCATGTAATTTTCTCAGTAACCCAACCCAAACTTTGAATGTTTAGAATTCTGGGTTTTTTTGCCCAATAGGACAAGCAGAGACTTTATTTGACCCAATAGGGCACAGTTGGTTTTGTTTTGCAAATATGGAAAATGTTACGGTACATGGGGAACTTATCACCTCGAGGTGACGAATTTCATTAGATATATTATTTTATTGGTTTCAGTTAAGTGAGCCCCACATGGGCCATTATTTTAATTTATATAGTGAGACTCGTCATTTTTTTAAATAATTTGTAAAATCATTTTAAAAAATCATTTTAAAAAAAATTAAATTAAAAAATAATGAAACTCATCACCTCGATGCGTTGAGTTCCTTTTGAATTTAAAAAAAACTAGATGTTTATAGTCGTTAGGAAACGGGCAGCAACAACGGTAAGTTCCTTCCAAATTAAAAAAAAAGTAGTTGTTTATAGCATTTGGGATTGGGGTTATAAATAGGGGTTTGGTGTTTTGGATTTCTAGTATCCATTGTTACGAAAAAATTGAGAAAATTTCGTAGTTTCTGAAGAATTCCCCAAAAATGTATTCCCGACAAGAAATGTTACACCTTGATGATATTCATATTTCGTCTTTCGAACTCCCTCCAGAAGAAGAATGGGACATTCGTCAACGAGGAATGACATCGAGAAATCCGCATCAGTGGATGATTATATATCTTCAACAATCCGGTCTGTATCCAGCCACATTTATGCATGGTTTTAAGGTGAACCCAACATTGATTTTGACTCTGATTGAACGTTGGAGGCCCGAGACGCTCGCTTTTCCATTTTCCCAATGGTGAAGCGACAAATATTTTGGAAGATGTCACTTACCAACAGGGTGTTCCCGTGAATGGTGTCGACGTCGTGAGGCGAAACGATTACAATAATATCATATTGTCTACGAAGTCTTGGGAAGGATGTCACCACCCAAAGTCTTAGATTGGTATCAGATACGGATGACGTGGTTGGAATCCGAATTTCAAGTGACAGACAACTCTATCGAAAAGGATGTTATTTTTACATCCCGAGCGTATCTTCTCCAACTGATTGGAGAGATATTATTACAAGATAATTTGGCATACACTTAGTATTTGTATATATTAAATAATTTTACTAAGTATCGTAATACTAGTTGGGCTTGACGACTTCGACTTTTTTGTACTAGGAGCTTTGAAAGACTAAAATCATTGAGATGGGCCAAAAAGCTGATGTAGCATATATTATTTATTATTGCAATAGTCTTGGGCTTGGTACTGGTTCCAGTTGTTTACGCCAATTACACCAAACACGGTTGAGTTTCCTATAATTACAAGATAATTTTTTAACGAGGTCTCAATCTTAGTCGTTGTCTTTGTATGTTTCATCTTATAATACATACAAGACACCCTTTACTAGAAAAAAAAATTAACGGTATAACTGATAAAAAAATGATAGTCAAAATAAAATATTATTATAATTATTAGTCATGGATGTAATTTACCCTTTAACTATCCCGGCTTAATTACCATCTACGGGTGCAAGGTTTGGAAGAGCACGTAATTCACATTTCGAAAGGGTATGACAATAATACGTGTATGTTAAAGACACATGGTAACGACGCGCGTCATATTTACAGCTGTATACTAATAAGTGCTACACATGGAAGATTCCTTTAACGTATGCCTTGGACGAAAATTTTTTACTTTTCAAAACTTCTGTTTTTTCAGAAGACCTCTAAAATGTCAACACTTCATGATTTATAGATTTAAAATACTAGTAATTGTATTATTAGCAATAAAAATTTCAATGTGAAAAATTGATAAATTAATCACAATAAAGGAATGGATAGTATTTAAACGTAGGGTAAACTACACAAATGATAACTAATGTTTGAGTGAATTTTCATTTTCCCCAACTAAAGTTTAAAAAATAATAAATTGGTCACTAACATTATCTGTTTATAACCAATCAGTCACTCACCGTTAACATTCGTTATTGTAGTAATTGAATACTGATGTGACACGTTAAAAAAGTTAACTCATCACGTTTGACTCACTGTTTGAATCTTTTTTTTCTTCTTCTTCCTTGAACATGCTATATCCTTGGGTGCATAAACATCAACTACACCAAAACTAACACTCGTGAAAAAAAGTCGAACGACAAGAGGAGGAAGAGGAGGAGAAGAGGAGTCAAATGGTTGGACAAATATGTTGAGTCAGCTAGTTTAACGCGTCACGTTAATATTCAATTACAGTAGTAACGGTTGTTAATATGGTGAGTGATCAATTTGTTATAAATCGATAATATTGTGGACCATTTTGTTACTTTTGAAACTTTAGTGATAAAATAAAATTTTACTCAAATATTAATGATTGTTCGTGTAATTTACCCTTAAAATAATCATAATAATACCGTTTAATTTGTATAAATAATATATATCTCCTGCGTTGTATTTGAAAAACCACCAAAATAATCAGATTTATATATAATTATACATATGTGCTATTTCAATTCTTTTAAAGTTAAAAATGAAGAGAATAATGTAATCATTTATAATTTATTTTCGAATTTTTTCAAAATTTTGAATTCGTTTCAATAAAGTGATTCATATAATAAATGGTTGATGTATGTAGAATTTAAGATGTACAAGTTTTTACTCTATAATCTGAAATTTTTTATGTTATTTGTTTATTTTACTAAAGTTATCCACTTGAAATTTCATTTATACACATCTCATTTCAATTTTTTTTAATATTAATACATATGTATACGCTCTAAAAAAATATTTTTAGAACCGTCGATTCTATAAGGTTGATAACCAATGAAATTACATGTATATTCTATTAACTTCTAGATCTTTTAATTAGTAAATTTTATTAAATTGCGTCTGCCAATTAAATATTTAAGAAATTAAAATATTTAATAATTATAATTTTATAATATTCAAATATCCGGTCATTTTAAATATTTTGTCATGGGCTGCGAACTTGTGGGCAAGGTTGACCCACACCAGATTACCCGTGGGGTCGCGACTAGCACAAGGCAGACTGCTCCCATCGTGGTGTCGAGACCAACACCCATCAGGGAGTGACAGACGCAACCCAAGCTGCCTACGAGGATCACGCCGAGACCAAGGCGCACACAATGCCTCACAAGGTCAAGACACGCCTACTCCAAACCACCTACAAGCACGACCTATGCACGTCCAGCACCGCCTAGGGTCGAGGTCGTCGCACACCAAGGGTAGTCTAGGGCTGAGGTCGACACACTTCAAGGTCTGCCAAGGGCTCTAGCTAGCACACAATGAGACACACTAAGGGTTAGGGCCAATGCACACTGGGTGTGCGTCTAGAAAGGGGTCGCTTAGGGGCGAGGGCAGCGCACATAGGGGCACACAGGGTCAAAGCATGTGCACATTATGGGTGCACAGAGGGCCGAGGCTAACACCGACTTAAGACCTGTCCACCTAGCAAGGTTGTCCCTTACTTGAAAAAATAAGACAAGTAACATAGTCCTTAGTTGAATATGACTCAAATATTAGAGTTTTTAACTAAAGTAAGAGTTTTTCTTGTAGTTAGTCTAGGTGTAGTCATTGAATGTAAGGGGGCTTCAATATAAAAGGAGGTATTCTCACCTCCATTGGATATAGAGAGTTTTTATGTAAATAAACTGTATCCATGCAAAATTTTTCTCATACATACGCTTACTTACGTTTTTCAATATTTTCTCATTGTACTTATTGCCATAACAACATTAATTGAGGAGTTTGAACTGACTTAAAAATCGAACGATCGAACAAGACATCTAAGGGTCGCATGGACCAACTAGCCCACAATCAAGTCATGTGACAATTTATTATCAAATGAGTTTTCATTTTAAAATTCGTTGTCCCTGTGACTAGTCACAACTACTGTTTCAACTAGGAATCCTTATCCACTTCCCATATATACATGATTGTTATTTTTTATAGTATTTTGTTTGAGCTTTCGATTTCTTTTAATTATTCCAATGGCATCTACGAGGAAAAATGTTGATCGGATCAAAGGTCCATGGAGTCTAGAAGAAGACGAGGCTTTGCAGCCATTGGTTCAGACGCACGGCCCCGGAAACTGGTCTTTAATAAGCAAATCGATACCAGGTCGAACTGGAAAGTCGTGCAGGCTCCGATGGTGCAACCAGCTTTCCCCTGAGGTTCAGACACAAATGGAGATGCAAAACGGGATGGGGCCGCAGTTTTTTAGCGTTATGCAAGAGATGATAAGAAGAGAAGTGAGAAACTACATGTCCGGGATTGAACAAAATGTTCTTTTCTTGCGAACTGAAGCAATCGGAAATGCTGTTGTTAAGCGTATTGGTGTTAGTAAGCTCGAGTAGACAACAACAAGAATCCCCCGAAGAAGAAAAGAAAAGGAAAATGTCTACTCTTTCCTCTAGTTGTTTCGTCCCTTTCTTTGTTGCTTTAGTTGTTTTTTTTGCAGTGTGAAGAGGAAGAAAAAAACCTTACAAAGTCGAACTTTGAAAAAATAAGAAGGATTTTTTTTTCCAAATAAACTGCTTCTACCGTCCGATATCTGATCTTCTTCAATCTATGGGCTGAAAGAAGTTATTAAAAACAAAAAAAGTACGCAAAAGTTAAGAATGACTGGACAGTTGGGACACACAAACCATTTTTATATGATCGTCTGGAGTTCTGTCACAAAGCAAAACTGAAAATGAGCATAGTGGATGCGTTTTGTTTGGTAGTAAACCTAAAGCGTAAGCGGTGCTTTTGAGATTTTAGTCACGTTCATTTTGCAGCAGATTTTTTTATAGCCACCTCTAGCAAATTTTCCATTTTATATCTATCATAATCGTGGCCCATGGCAGCGTGTAGTAGCTCTTCTACCCAACACGTCGTGGCAGCTGCTTCATTTTTTTGACTTTGACCTATACATGGAATCTGCTGCTTCATATGTCTCCAACAATGATTTCCAATATCACTTTACTTGAGCCTGAGTCCCCTAAAATATACAAGTTGCAAGTAGTTACATTGCGGCATTTATATTTGGTCTATAGCAGTTGATCTTTTACTCCTTTGATTGATGAACTCCGAATTTTAACGTCAAAACAGTAAACTATTACTTGCCATTGCCTCTTAATCTGTTGGGCTAATTAGTGGGTAGTTATTAGCTGGGCTAAAAATAACATTGTATGGTGGCTTTAGTAAATCAGAGGAATAAAATTCAATCTTTTCAATAATCAAAGAAGGTCGATTGTTTGTTCTTTTTAGTAACTTCTTTTGAATGTTCCTCTGACTGCTAAACTTTTCTAATATTCATCAGCCTTGTCGTATTTCCCCTCAAATGTTGAGCCTACTATCATTGTCACCCATGTTTCGGTTAGATCTGTGCCTATCTGCTCTTCCTTCTGTTTACTTAACGTTCTTTGCATTACATTCTTACCATCTATGCCATGGATTCCCATTGAAGGGCACTCCAATAAAACTATTCCATAGCTATAAACATCTACCTCGTGTTGAAATTATTAAAATGGTTTTCAAGTTTGGTAACCAATTTTGAAAAAATGGTTTTCAAAGTTTGGTAAATGTTTCTTTGAAAATGGTTTTCAAAGTTTGGTAAATGTTTCTTTGAAAATGGTTTTCAAAGTTTGGTAAATATTTCTTTGAAAAATAGTTTTTCAAAGTTTGGTAGATGTTTGTTGAAAAATGATAATGGGATAATCACAATTAATCCATAGGCTTTAGGGTATTTACAAGATTAAGTCCTTAAGTTTCAACTATAAATAACCTAGCTCATTTAGCTTCAAAACCATCCCAAAAATCATTTCTTTCTCCCAATACTAGAGAGTTTTCTTGTGAGTAGTGAGTGTTTTGTAAACACCTGTAAATTTTCTCTCTTAGTAAAAGATCTGCAGCAGTCCGGAGACGTAAGCACAATTGGTTGAACTCCGTTATCAATTTCGGGTATTATTTTTCCGCTTTTATTTTGCATTCTCACTAATCTGGTTATAGGGAAATTATTTGTACTTGGTTTATTTCCTAACAACTGGTATCAGAGCTTTTGGGTTGTGAATTTTGTCAATTTTTTCAGGTTACTATTCATGTGAATAGTAACTTTCATGAATAGTGAAATTCGGTCGGCGATACGAGTTTGTCGACGAAGGTGTTCTAAAACACGGCGGTTCGCAAAAATTGTCAGAAACAATATAAACGAATCCAGATTCGAGTGGGGGTGATGGATGCAGACGAAGGGAAGGTGAAAATTGAAAAGTTCGATGGTGCGTACTTTGGATTTTGGAAGATGCAAATTGAAGATTTTCTATACCAGAAAAATCTATATCAACCCCTCTCAGGAAAACAATCAGAGGGCATGAAGAATGAAGACTGGGCTCTTCTCGACAGACAAGCCCTCGGAGTTATCCGACTGACGTTATCCCGCAATGTTGCTTTCAACATAGCAAAGGAAAAGACCACGGCGGGTCTTATGACGGCTCTCTCCAGTATGTATGAGAAGCCGTCGGCCTCAAACAAAGTTCATTTGATGAGGCGATTATTCAATTTGCGGATGACGGAAGGGGCATCGGTGGCACAACACCTAAATGAACTCAACACAATCACAACCCAGTTGAGTTCAGTGGAAATTGAATTTGATGATGAAGTTCGAGCTTTAATTCTCTTATCATCTTTACCAGACAGTTGGAATACTACTATTACAGCAGTCAGCAGTTCGTCGGGAAACATCAAATTAAAATTCGACGATGTTCGGGATCTGGTACTGAGCGAAGAAATTCGACTGAGAGAATCGGGTGAAGCATCAACCTCCTCAGCCTTGCACACGGAGTCCAGAGGGAGAACTTCAGAAAGAAATTCAAATCGTGGCAGATCGAAATCCAGAAGGGGAAAATCAAGAACAGGAAATAAAGATTTTACCTGTTATAATTGCAACAAGAAGGGCCACTTCAAAAGAGATTACCGAGCACCAAAGAAAAATACCGGCGCACAGGAATCTGCCAACATGACGGAGGAGACAGGTGATGCTATGATTTTAAGCGTCAACAGTCCGATTGAATCATGGATTTTGGATTCAGGGGCATCTTTCCACTCCACGCCGTACCAAGAAATCATGGAGAACTATGTCAGTGGTGATTTTGGGAAGGTTCATCTTGCTGATGATGAAACCTTGAAGATCGTCGGAAAAGGAGACATCCGACTAAAGCTGCCAAACCAGACCACCTGGAAGCTGACAGGAGTGAGACATATTCCTGGTCTCAAAAGAAATTTGATTTCTGTAGGACAGCTTGATAGAGAAGGATACAGTACAACCTTTTCAGGTTGTGAATGGAAGATTACCAAAGGAGCACTCGTCATTGCTCGTGGTAAGAAGACTGGTACTCTCTATGTAACCTCAAATTTACAGAATATCATTGTAGTAGCAGATGCTGATGGAAAATCAAACCTATGGCACCAAAGGCTTGGCCATATGAGCGAGAAAGGGATGAAGACACTTTTGTCAAAGGGGAAGCTGCCGGATCTAAAGAATGTAGATGTCGGACTATGCGAGGATTGCATCTTTGGCAAACAAAAGAAAGTCAGCTTTGCAAAGATTGGTAAGACACCCAAGGCTGAAAAGTTAGAGTTAGTTCATACTGATGTATGGGGACCATCTCCAGTTCCATCTCTTGCAGGCTCATTATATTATGTCACATTCATCGATGATTCTACAAGGAAGGCGTGGGTTTATTTTCTGAAGAAAAAATCAGAAGTCTTTGATACCTTCAAAAAATGGAAGGCCATGGTGGAAAATGAGAATGGTATGAAAGTCAAGCGGTTGAGGTCTGACAATGGAGGAGAGTACAGAAATAGGAGATTCAGAGATTTTTACGCAAACAATGGGATCAAGATGGAGACAACAGTTCTCATGACACCACAGCAGAATGGCGTAGTAGAGCGCATGAACAGAACTCTGAATGAATGTGCCAGAAGCATGAGGATACATGCCGGATTGCCCAAATTTCTATGGGCTGAAGCTATTAACACTGCAGCTTACCTGATCAACCGTGGGCCCTCAGTTCCTTTGGATGGCAGAATACTAGAGGAAGTTTGGAGAAAGAAAGAAATAAACCTTTCACACTTAAGAGTGTTTGGTTGTATTTCTTATGTACACATAGACTCTGCTGAAAGAAGTAAACTTGATGCTAAGTCCAACAAATGTGCCTTTGTTGGTTACGACGGTGATGAGTTCGGTTACCGGTTTTGGGACTATGAAAATCGGAAGATCATTAGAAGCAGAGATGTCATTTTCAATGAGAATGTGATGTACAAAGACAGGTCAACTGTAGAATCAAGCAGCTCCAATACCAAAGCTGAAACAAAGGAATTTGCTGAGTTTGAGGAGATTTTTGGAAATGATGTTCAGATCAGTCCTGAAGCAGTTCAAGAAGAACCAGGCACACCGGAACTAAGACGCTCATCCAGAATTCCTAAACCAACCCAACGGTATTCTCCTTCTTTGCACTACTTGTTGCTGACTGACAATGGTGAACTAGAGTGCTATGATGAAGCAATGCAAGTGGAGGATTCAGTCAAGTGGGAGTCTTCCATGAAAGATGAGATGGACTCGCTTTTGTCAAATCAGACGTGGGAATTAGCTGAATTACCATCAGGCAAGAAAGCGCTTCACAACAAGTGGATTTATAGGATCAAAGAAGAGCACGATGGGAGCAAACGCTACAAAGCGAGATTGGTTGTCAAAGGTTTTCAGCAAAAAGAAGGTATTGATTACAATGAAATTTTCTCTCCAGTCGTGAAGCTATCTACAATCAGACTGGTGTTGAAAATTGTAGCTGCAGAGAATTTACATCTTGAGCAGTTAGATGTAAAGATAGCTTTCCTTCATGATGATTTGGAGGAAGAAATCTATATGAGGCAGCCAGAAGGCTTCATAGAGGTATGCAAGAAAAACCTGGTATGCAGGTTGAAGAAGAGCTTGTATGGTTTAAAACAAGCTCCTAGACAGTGGTACAAGAAGTTCGATAGTTTCATGAGTAGCAGTGGTTTTACCAGATGCCAAGCAGATCATTGTTGCTACATCAAGAGGTTCGACAATAGCTTCATTATTTTATTGTTGTACGTTGATGACATGCTCGTTGCAGGCTCAGACATGCAAGAGATTATAAACTTGAAGCAAAAATTGTCAAAGCAGTTTGCTATGAAGGATCTGGGCGCTGCAAAGCAGATTCTTGGGATGAGGATCAAGAGAGACACAAAGTCGGGGACTTTGATATTATCACAGGCTGAGTACATCAACAAAGTACTCTCCAGGGTCAACATGCAAGATGCTAAACCAGTAAGTACACCTTTAGGTGTTCATTTCAGACTCTCCAAAGAACAGTCACCAAAGGCGGAGGAAGAACGTGCACATATGGTGAAGGTGCCGTATGCCTTAGCAATTGGAAGTTTGATGTATGCCATGGTTTGTACCAGACCAGATATTGCTCAAGCAGTGGGAGCTGTTAGCAGGCACATGAATAATCCGGGCAAGGTACACTGGGAAGCAGTCAAATGGATCCTCAGATATCTGTGGGGTACCACAAACAAAACACTTTGTTTCAAAGGTGGAGATACGATACTGATAGGCTATGTAGATGCTGACTTAGCCGGAAATGTTGACATCAGAAGGAGCACTACAAGGTATGTCTATACTCTAGGAGGAACCGCAGTGAGTTGGGTTTCTCAACTACAGAAGATAGTTGCTCTCTCCACAACTGAAGCAGAATATGTCGCTGTTACGGAAGCCAGCAAAGAGATGGTTTGGCTCCAAAGTTTCTTGGAAGAGTTAGGCAAGAAACAAGAAAATAATGTCTTGTATTGCGATAGTCAAAGTGCTATACATCTAGCAAAGAATCCGTCTTTTCATTCCAGGACAAAGCACATACAATTGCGATATCATTTTATCCGGTCTCTTCTGGAAGATGGGATTTTGAAACTTGAAAAGATCAGTGGAGCTCAAAATCCGACAGACATGTTGACAAAGATGGTGACTACAGACAAACTGAAGTTGTGTTCAACTTCAGTTGGCATGCTAGAGTAACAAGACTAGAAAAGCTGTTGCATTGATCGAGGTGTGAAGACAGATTAAAATCAGTCTTCAAGTGGGAGATTGTTGAAATTATTAAAATGGTTTTCAAGTTTGGTAACCAACTTTGAAAAAATGGTTTTCAAAGTTTGGTAAATGTTTCTTTGAAAATGGTTTTCAAAGTTTGGTAAATGTTTCTTTGAAAAATAGTTTTTCAAAGTTTGGTAGATGTTTGTTGAAAAATGATAATGGGATAATCACAATTAATCCCTAGGCTTTAGGGTATTTACAAGACTAAGTCCTTAAGTTTCAACTATAAATAACCTAGCTCATTTAGCTTCAAAACCATCCCAAAAATCATTTCTTTCTTCCAATACTAGAGAGTTTTCTTGTGAGTAGTGAGTGTTTTGTAAACACCTGTAAATTTTCTCTCTTAGTAAAAGATCTGCAGCAGTCTGGAGACGTAAGCACAATTGGCTGAACTCCGTTATCAATTTCGGGTATTATTTTCCCGCTTTTATTTTGCATTCTCACTAATCTGGTTATAGGGAAATTATTTGTACTTAGTTTATTTCCTAACACCTCGGAGGTGATGGGCATGCTCGACACCCACTCATGCGCCATGTAAACCAAGACCGGCCAAAGTCTGACACTTTAGGCTGATAATTGGAGTCTATGAGAATGTTTTGAGGCCTTTCGCTGTTCCCACTGCAATTTTATTTCTTTAAGGGGCTTGCTGTAGGAGGACAAATGTGCCTTGGGGAATTTCCAATAGAAGTCTCCACCATAACCTGGCAGGCTCACCATGCTTATACTATAACTGTGTCTTGGGATATCAAAATGGAGTATATGGTTGGGCGGTTTTAATGGCAATAAATTGGAAACAATTCATAATCGTAGCTGTAAATTTCTGAATGACCGAGTTTCGGAAAACCAACCTCAGATTCATTACAAGAAAGATCAAACTCGGGTTCGCAACAGAGGGACCAATCATTGAGTTATATTCTATTAGTTAACAGGATCCTTAAATTGTTTACATGCACACACACAGTTTTATTGTAAATATTTTTTAAAACTAGGTTACAACTTATAACCCAAAATTCTATGTTAATGGGATTGAACATGAATATGTTTGCTCAATGCTTTTCTACAAGTTGAAGAAGCATCCGAACCACTTCACCCATAGACGGTCTGGCATCTTTATCCTCTTCAACACATCGGAGAGCTACAGTGACCAAGATCGACATCTCGGCCTTGTCATATTGCCCCTCCAACGTTGGGTCTATTATCATCTCCATCCATGTTCCCGTCGCATCAATCGTCTCCTTCACCCATTTCATTAACGTTCTTTGCACCTCTTCCCTTTCACCTTCTACTCCCTTTGAATGACTTCTTCCGGTTATCAACTCTAATAAAACGATCCCATAGCTGTAGACATCCACTTTGGAGGTGATGGGCATGTTGAGTACCCACTCCGGCGCCATGTAACCTCTGGTTCCTCTTAACCTTGAGACTTTTGAATGCTTCACATCACCTCGGTTTAGCAACCATGAAAGCCCAAAATCTGACACTTTAGGCTGGTAATTAGAGTCTATGAGAATGTTTTGAGGCTTTATATCGCAGTGAAGAATCCACTCCAAGCATTCTTCATGTAAGTAAGCTAAGCCTTTTGCAGTTCCTAATGCAATTTGAAATCTTTCTCCCAATCAAGTGTTTTAGATGAGAGGTTTTCCGCCAAGGATCCGTGCTCATGTACTCGAACACCAAAAGCTTGTGCTTTCCCTCCACGCAATATCCCCACAAGTCTATCAAATTCATGTGATTAAGCTTCCCAATGGTGTTAACTTCTGCTAGGAATTCAGCTTCCCCATGATTCGCATCGATGAGTCGCTTGATAGCAGCTATTCGATCATCCGACAGTTTGCCTTTGTACACAATTCCTCCTGCGCCTCTTCCAATTTCTTTCCTAAAACCATTTGTTGCATAATCAAGCTCAGCATAGGTGAATTTTCTGAAACCTGTTGCAGCAATTAGGTGGTAGCCTCCCATTAGCTCTGACTGTTGCTGCGTTCTAATCAAGAAAAACCAAACCAATAAAAGGATTAGAAACTCCATTCCTCCAATGGCACAGGTAGACCAGAGAACAGTGTTTGTCGACAGAAACTGAATGAACAACTTGAATGGCTCGCTTTCCTTCCTTTCGTGATACGTTCGTGTGAGCTGCTCAACTTGAACGGAGCATTCAAGGCTGTAATTTTGAATAAGCTCATAGGACAGTGAAAGCTTGGTCTTTGGCAACTTCAAGTAGATGTCTGCGCCATAAAATGGCTCGTGATAGCCATTCCTCAGTTCAGACTTGAGATAACAGTATGTACTATACGGTTGATGGGATTTATGGAACCTAAATTGGAAACCTTTGCAATTGCATTGCTCCAGGCATAAGTTCTTGCACATCTCTACGCTGTAATTTGTATAAATAGCATATTCGTAGCCGTAAAATTCAGTATTTCTAAGACTTATAAAACCAGCCTCACCTCCATTACAAGAAAGATCAAATTCAGGTACACAACCAAAGGACCAATCCTTGTGATTCTTCATCCTATATCCAGGAATGCAAGAACATTTCCTACCATATTTGGGACTGGAACTGCATACGCTGTTGGGACCGCAAGTTCCGTGAATCTTGCATAGTTGAAGGTATGCATGCCATGAAACAACCCATTTGTCTTCCCTTTCATTTAGGCTGTACAATCGAACATTGCCATCAAAATCAATGGTCAATCTTCTATGAATCCTCGCACCATAATCATCAGCCTTGATGGTGTAATTATCAGTTGAACTAAATTTGCCCAAAGGATCCAGTACTGCGATTCTGCTATTGTTGTTGGTGGATCTTCCAACTTCCCATCTCAAAAGCCAGGGGCTTGGCCAATAAATACTGGAAACCTCAGGACCTTTATATAAAAGACTAAGAACGTTATCAGAATCGAAGTAGAGATTGAAAAAACCAGAAGAGCAGTTGTTTCGGCTTCTTGATGAGACAAGCTTGGCGTTCTTTTTGAGTTGTTGAAGTGGAAGCAAAGTATCTGTGGGTGAATTAAAGCTTTGCCAAAGTGTGGCACCCGTGGAATCATGCAGGACCAGATTGCCGGTGTCGTAGAGTTTTAAATGTACAGCGGAGAGATGAGACGCCGTGTCGGTGGCCCAAACTGTGATACGTCCAGCGTCGGTCAAAACAAGATTACCGTGTTTCGTTAAGGTGAGCTTCGAGTGTCTTCCGTTGACGGGATAGTCACGGTTTGCCATCCAGACAACGGTGCAATTGTCGCTGCAAGATGGTTTGTTGAACCAAATGGCAAAGGAGTAGGCGTTTTGGCCAACGGGGTGAAACCCGGAGCTGAAGGTCCCATCCGATGAAATTAAGACATCTCCTTTAGTATCCACCGACAATGATTTTCCCGCATGTAGATGATCATTGGATGAAGAGGAAAATGAACAGAGTTGAATCAAGGATACCAAGAGTACGATAATTGGCCCGACCATGATTTCCGTGAGGAGAAAACGAAGACGCCGAATGGGAAGATCCGTTGAAAACTTAATAGGAGATCCATTTGTGTAGAATTCATATGACGTGAATCAATGACCATACAACTTAAACTGGATGGCGACTCGAGAAGAAAAAAAAATAATAAAAGGCTGCTTTCACTCATAGGGGAATCTCACAATGGAACTATTCCACCTGCCCAGATTGTTTTCAAATTTCGATTACTTGACATAAAAAAACCTAGTCAAAATAACCATGTTAACAGATAGATTGCTCACTGTCAGCAATAGTTTAATTATAATCAGATAAATCCAACAGCTTTTTAGTTAGAAACCCAGCGAGAGCATAAAGATGTGTTCACAGCCTCAGCTATGTTCCTAGGACCAGGCAGCGGAGAACAAAGCATGGTTTTGCGATACAATTTGTAGAAATTTAAGAAAATAAACTGATTAAAACAAAATATAAATAAAAAGCATAATAAAAATTTGAAAATTTTCAGAACAATCTTCTCGTCAATTCTCTTGATTTCTTCAAGAAAGCATGCTATTGCATTCTGATATGGTTAATGAAGATCACCCTCGTATTTAATTCCAGAATGGTCGACTGATTGTTCTTAGCAAAGTCATTTTTTTAATTTATTCAAGCATTTTTCATTTTTATTCTTTTTAGAGGAAGCAGAAATAAGACAATTTCTACTAAAACAGATAAGGATGTGTCATGGGTGCCATTATTGAATAAAAGTGGCCGCCGTAGCCCACATATATTAATGCGTCAAGAACATCTATTACTATTACTTTAGTGAACAGAAGCATGTGTCTTTTTATTAAATTACATCACCATTACATTTAATAGATCCCAAGTTAGGTTTCCATTAATCTCTATTTGAATGAGTTGTGAGATTGATTTCAATAAAATATAAATAATAGTGTCAGTAGAATTTATAATAAAATAAATATTTAAATTTATATTACATTGATTAATAACACATAAAGTAAAGGATAAAATATATTCCACGTGATTACAACAGCTCACTATTTTTTAAAAAATTAAAATTTAATCACACAAGTAAAATATTATCATAAACAAATCACTCCTCCATTAAAAATAAAATGGAAGTATAATGTGGCTTGATATAATAATCATTTTAATCCCTAACATTTATAGGCTTAATACATTTTTAGGTGTCTAAACTATATCTCAAATATACTTTTGGTGTCTAAAATTTTTTCGATTAAAATAAGTGTCTAACGTTTTCTCCGTCACGCCCTTAGGTTATTAATGGTTTCTTTAAAAAGTAAAGTTTACTAATAGTTATTAAATTATTTTAAATATTTTATATTAAAATTATAAAAACTATAAAATATATATTAAAATTTTAAACTTTATTATAAAATTAATGGATAGTATCTCATGTTGGAATAATATCACATTAAAATTTAAAATCATTCTTTCTCTTTTGAGAGGGGTTTGACTTCAGATTTTGATAGAAATCTCAAGTGATTTTGTCTTAAAGTTTGGGTGAAAATTTAGAGTTATAAGATTAAATATTGTCCCCAAATATTCAGATTCAAGTTAATGAATTTAAGGAAATTTTTAGTGGTAAACTTTGTTCAAAGGATCAAATTACTTGAACTTGTTATGTTTATTGCATCATTTATTACTTGTCACTACAAAAAGTTTTGAAGATCAATTCACCTCTCGAGACTTTTTTTTATTGATTATCACAACAAACATAAATTTTAAAAAGAACAATAAAAAGTAAAACTTCTTAAAAATAAATAAATAACATTTATTTATTTCTGTCTAAAATAAGTCATGTAAATTACTAAAAATAGTGAAACTAATTATTACTGGGTGACTAAAAAATTAATTTATTATCGACTCACATATTAAAACATAAGAAAAATAAATACGTCTAATCATAACCGTAGAAACATTGGGGGGAAAACAAATAAGATGGACTCCTAAGGGTCCAGCCCAAAGTTGTGGGGGCAGTGCCGTTGGAAAGAACGATAGCACCTCCCCATGGAGTAGAGGGATTGTACCCATTTTTAGGTCAATGGATTCAAAAGATGGAATCCAAAAGGGAAACGCACACAAGCCTTCAAGTCAAACAACAATGACAAGCACAAAACCTCCTAATAGAGATTATCCTACAAATATATTAGATACAAACCGTTCTTAAAAAGGCAATACAATTACAGAAAGAACTCATGTTTCACTAACCTCTTTTCTAAGCCAAAGGAAAAGCATGGACGGAAGGTAGATGACACTTCCAACCACTTATTGGTGTATTGTACAAACGGTTTGGAAGAAGTGTCTGCATTTAGATATCAGGTTTACTGGTGCTCGTTTCAACATCTTCTACATGGTAAATGGAGCGAAATAAGGCATTCTGATTCTTCTGCAAGAACCTGCAATGACAAGACATCGTCATCCATATCAGCACTCAGCAGATATTGATGATAATAAACTATCTTCCCAGAAGAAATATAAGCATATCTAATGGGGTTTTGCAAGAATCATGTGCCTTATAAAGGCATCATTGGGGGTTCCGGGGCGAGGGGGGACTAAGGTGATGGATAGAGTTCGCACTTGAGGAAGTCGACTAAATTTTTCTGCAACTCCAATAACGTCTTCTGTTCAATGTCTGCACGCATCAATAACTCCGGCAATTTCACTGCAAATAAAAGAAAAGTAAATTAGCAGAATTAACTTCACAATAAAAAAATCCATCACTTGGAAAATTCATTAGTCTAGGGGGTGGCCTTAATCAAACATTTAATGAGTATATCAGGAATGAGCTGCAATAATTGCAACAAACATGCATACCACATATAGACATAGCAAAAGATTACAAGATAAGTTCAGAAAGGTTCATTAAAGGGTGATTTATTAGAGGATAACCGTGTTTAGTACTATATCATTCTATTACTAATAGATAATTTGCTTGAAAGGAACTAATAGTGATTGATGTTATGTATTTCAGCTTATAAAAAAATGATGCATTCAAATTCAATCCAGAAAATTTTGATAGATTATTTAGTACATTCTCAAATTTTATCTGAAAATTGTTGGCTCTGAAAGAACTGTCTTGGTTGCTTTCCGAATTTCGACTCAAACTACAAAAAGGATTATCAGAGTAGGGAAATATCTCTGAATTAGCAAGCAGAATTCCTCCCTATATGTATTATTAGAGAGCAAGATACTTATTTTTTTTCTTCAAGTTGATCAAATTTGTCTACTGCGATGGGATAAACATACCAAAGAGACGAAGCAGATGTTCAGCCCCATATACCATGGATGGACGGAGATCCTCTGTAATAATACAACGATACTGCTTACGCTCACTTTTGTACAAAAGTATCACAGGTAAAGCTTTGTTGAAGTAAGCACATATCCCTTTAAAGATTTCTCTTACCGCTACATGCATGCCATTTTCATTTCAACTATTAGAAAACTAAAAACATACGGCCAAGAATATGGAAATGGAAGCTTGGTAAAACAATTATTTATCAAACTTCAAAGCCACTAACTAGAATTGAAGATTTGAGGCACTTTCACTCACAACTACCTTCCAAGTGGATACTTCTGCTGTATTGTTCTTCCATTAGAAGCTAAAAACTAGCAAACCTAGTATAAACTGTACATAATTAAAAGAATTGTGTCAATAATCCTACTCAGTTGCTTTTCTTGCATCTTTCACGGCATCAGCAATTCAAGGTACATTCTAATAGCAACATGCAGGTCTTTTGGACCATCAGGTCATTAACAGTTGCTTGACAATATGTGGTGCCAATGAATTAAATAAAGCTGGTTCTCCATCTAGCTTACCATTACAGGAGCTGGCCATGCTGAAAAGAGATGAAGGGTGCAAGTTATAGTATAACAATGAGAAAAAAGGGAGGGAACAAACTTACATGTTATCCTTCTTATATCTGTAATCAAGATACATCTTCAGTATGTCTTCCACACTTGGAGTACGCGGAAGTATAAAAAGCTGTACGTTAAGATATAAATCAATTCTGATAATTGACATTGACAGGGACGTCTTAAAATGAAACAGAAGGAATAATGCATACAAATCCAAACCTGAGGATATACCTACCTTTCCCAAATGAGTAATAAATTCACAATCGTTAATTAGATGCTTCTTCAGAGTGAGCGGAATTCGAATGTTCACAAGCTTTTCTGAACTATCTGAAGGTACAGTCTGCTTATCCTAGCAGCTCAGAACAATTTAGCAATCAGACTAAATTAAACATGAAATCTATATTATAATGGAAGTTCAAGATTCTTACACTTTGGGTTTAAATCAAGGATGTCTTTAGCTTATTTTACTAGTAACATATGTTTACAATGAATACCAATAAACTAAATTTCTAACCAAAAGAACCAATAAGCATTGAAAATGCTAAGGCAATCACATCCAACAACAATGGGGAACGAACACCTTGCAAATAGAATCGCTGTTTCGCTTTTTGCCCCTACTACCTGCAAGATAAACATATCTTAATTCTTTAACCCTCCTTTTTCATATTTTTTGACAAATAAAAAAAACACTAAAATTAACCTTTGGGATGCCTCATGGACACGAGCGACGTTCCTCTCTTTGAAGTTCGAAATTCACCCTTCCTTTCTTCCTTCAGTTTCTTGTTAATTGCTTCCTGTTTTTGCAAATTCTCTTCTGTAAATTTCATTAACCTATCCACACCTACCCATTCATCCCAGCTGTGAAAACAAAAAGTATCATCAAGAATTCAATTGTTCCATCAAAATATACATATAATTTGAAAGAGAAGAGGGGTTACTTCTTTTTCCACCCCTGTAAAACAAACAAACAAATTGATTAATAAAGAATCAAATTTCAATTAATTTTATGGGGAAAAAGAAAAAGAGAGATTATATGGAATTTTTTTATACTTACAAGATAATGAACGAAATAATGCCAGCCGTTGCTCCTTTTTTCGCATTTTAGAACCTAGCAAGTAAAGCGATGAGTAAAGTGGTTTTTAAGGAGAATGGGAAGGAAAGAGTTTAAGATTTTCCTTTGATTTAGTTACTTTAGCCAAGTATATGAAGCGGCTATGGTAAGCGAGGACTTTCTCGTCTTCTCTGAAAAGACAGGTATCGTAACGGTTACATATTTCCTCATCAGTTTCGGTTGCGGAGTCGGAATCGGAGTCGGTCTTGGTAACGGTGGCGGAATCGTCGTCGCTTAAGGCAGTGTTTGAACTTCCCATTTTTAAGAGTGGGAAGGGATTTCGGTTCGAGGGCTTCAGTTATCGAGTTGGCGGAATTCTTTTTCTATTGATCGGTTTTTTTCACTGTGAGGTCGGTGAGGGTAGGGCACAGAGGTAAATTCACTAGCATTGGGGGATTTTTCTATGGGCAAATTACACCATTCCTCAGTGATCTTTGTTATCTCCAATTTCATTCATTGTACTTTTAGTTTTTCTAATTTACTTACTAAACTTTTGAACTACTATTGTTTTAATCACTCTGAATTATTTTATTATCATTTTGATATAATGTGGCAATTATTATTTAATAATTTAAAATAAATAATAAAATAATATTTTGTTATTATTAAATTTAAAAAATTAAAATTATCACCGCCCACCATCGACCTTCGGAATCAACAGTCTTTCGATCTCAAATTTCATGAGTCGTTTTGCCTCGACCCATTGAGTATGAATTTGATGGTTCTTTCACTGAAAAATATCTCAAAACTCGTGAATCCCGACTGAAATATTTATGTTTTCTCATTTTTAATCTCCTATTCGTGGACTTTAGAGCATGTACTAACAAAATAGAGGTCGAATTCGGATTCAAGGGGTCGAGTCTAAGTGACCCATGAAATCTGGGATCAAACGTCCACCATCACTGATGATGACCGATATTTTGGTTTTCTCATTTTTTTGATCGGATTCGGAGCATGTCCTCTTAAAATAGAGGTCGAATTCGGACTCAGGGGTCAAGATAAAACAACCGATAAAATCTAGGATCAAATGATTACCATCTACGGTTGTCGACGGTGGCATCCAAGGTCGACGAACAATGAACAAACAACTTCTATTTTTATTCTATATTTTAAATTATTTTTCAATTAAATAATAAAAAGATGTCAGATCATATGAAAATAATAATAAAATGATTAAAAGTGACCAAAACAAGAGCAATTCGAAAGTTCAGTAATTGAAAAAATCGAAAGTATAATAAGTAAAATAGGAGAGAGTAAAATTTAGTGAGGAATGATCTATTTTACTCTTTTTCTATTTTCGGAAAAATGACATTTTTATTAGTTTTTCTAATTTGTTGGCCATTTATATAAAGGGTAAATTACATGGATTCTCCATTAACTTTACTCTTTCTCTTATTTTATTCAATAAACTTCTAATTTTTTCAATTTTTCTATTAAACTTTTGAACTGCTAATGTTTTGATCGCTACAAAATACAAATTATTTTATTTTTATTATTTTGTGATGTGGAATTTTTAATTATTAAATTATAAATATAATTTAAAATAAACAAAATAATATTTTTTATTATTAAATTTAAAAAGAGTTAAAATAATCACTGTATTTCGCCCCCTTCTCGTCACTTTTGACCAACTTTGGTCTTTGGAATCGGTAACCGTTTGATCATAAATTGTGCCGAGAGACTCGTTTTGAAATGATGAGACCAAATCTAGTGGTTGTTTCACCGAAAAATGTCCCAAAACCCTTGAATCTCAATTGAAACATTTCAGTTTCCTCACTCTCGATCTCCTATTTGTGGGCTTTGGAGCATGTTTTGACATAATGGAGTTCGGATTCAGACTCAAGGTAGTCAAAGCGAAGAGAACCATAAAATATAGGACCAAACGATCACCATCTACAACGACTTGCATTTCAATTTTCTCACTCTTGATCGGATTCAGAGCATGTTTCGACATAATGGAGGTCAGTTTCATGGTCAAAGGATTTAGATGAAGTGAACGGTGAAATCTGGGACTAAACAACCACCATCTACGACCGTCGACGAATAGTGATTGATCGCCATCTCTTTTATTTTATATTTTAAATTATTTTTAAATTAAAAATATTAAAAATGTCACATTATATAAAATAATTCATAGTGATCAAAACATGAGCAAGTCGAGAGTTCAGTGAGTAAATTAAAAAAGTTAAAAGTATAATGAGTAAAATAGGAAAAAGTAAAATTAAGTGAGGAATTGTGTAGTTTACTGGTTTTTTGGCCCATTAGGCCAGACAGTATATTGAATTGGCTCATTAGGCCACCCTGCTTTTATTTTGCAATCTACGGCAAACGTTGTATTGCATGGAAAACTCGTCTTATCGAATTAACGATTTTACCCGAAAAATATTTTTAAATGGTCCCAAGTAAGTGGGTCTCATGTGGGTTAATATTATAATATATTTACCGAAATCGTCACATCGTAAAAAGAATTTTTTTTAAAAATTCAGTAATTAATTTTAAAATTATAATAAATTAAAAAATTTAGAACTCGTCATATTAATGTGAGGAGTTTTGTCTTTTTTTTAAGATAATTTAAAAATAATAATAAAAGCTTTTTAAACTAATACAATCCCTAAAAAATTACTTATATTTTTGTAACTCTTGACTATATCGAGGAGTGGTCAAATTATAATGGTGTGAGGCTCGTTGATTTCGTCTTGTTTGTCCGCCTTGATTGTCTTTATCTTCATTTGCTTCTTCAATAGGAGGTGTACTTAACATCACTCCACTTTGAGATCCACCTTCGAAATATGATGATGGAGTACTTAAGGTATTTGGCGCCATCATTGTCGTCGTTGACTCGAATTGGCCACTGAAATCAATTCTTTGTTGATCATATATAATATGATCTCATTCATCCGCATGTTTTGTAGAAGATGCTTGAGCGCTTTGCATTGCATCTCATGAACCTCCAACCCAATTCAACTGACTCTCAATTGAAGTGTGATATGGAAGATAAAAACCATAACTAGTCTGAGATGCAAAATATTCGGCAGAAGCAGAAGCATAAGAAGAAGTTGTCAACGATGATGATTTCTTGCCCTTTGAGTATTTGGCCTTCATTTCTTCCCATTGTTCCAACTCTTCATGTTTTGTTAAATATGGTTTTCCATTTGCTTCATAATTTTAGAGGAGTGAGAAATATCGAAATCAAGATCATCAGCTGTAATCTCGAAACGCATAGGGATAGATAGATGCCACTCATTTCATTGCTGAATATATATAGCATGCTTCCTCAGTCAATTCTCTTTATGCTTCCCACACATATCAATTTCATGAAGCGCGTTCATATCAAATATTTGCATAGGAATAGGTTGATGAGACGCAAACTGGCGCAACACTCTATCTGCGGCGTGCATCTCAGCAATAACAAAATGAAGCAAAGGCGTTACGAAACACTACAACTTTGAGCCTTCAAAAAATCCTGGTGATGGTAACTTGTAGATCTCTTTGTCACAATACGGAATCCAACAAAACTATTAAGATTAATTAAATTATAAAAGTTAATATAAATTATAAATAAATAAAATTTTAAGTAATTTACTAAAATAATCCCAAATCCCCATTAATTTTCAGGAATTCATCACATCGACGTGATGAGTTCGTAGAAATATATTATAATATTGACCTAAATGGGCCTACTTGCCTAGGGTCATTTAAAAATGTTTTTCGGGTAAACTCGTCACGTCAACAGGACGAGTTTGCCCTGCCCTGTAGTGTTTATCGTAGATTACAAAATAAAATTCATGGTGATCTATTGGATCAATTAAATATACCGCCTAAGCAAATGTAAAAAAAAGAAACTATAGTTTACTCTTATATAAAACATCGTAGCACCTTAAGGGACGTTTGATTCACGAAATGTAAGATTACCTTTGGGAATAATATTACTGGAATGTAACAGTACTATGATAATGTTATATTACCTTGTTTGGTTTGTTTAGCAGGAAATTAAAATTAAAGTGTTTGCTTGGAGGAATATAATATTACTTGACTGTATATTTTACCAAATTATCCTGGTGGTATATGTTTAAAAAAATTAAACTTTAATATTAAATTAAATATTTGAATGAGAATTCATAGAAATATTTTAATCGTTATATATCTAACTTTTGATTAAAAAATATATTTAATATATAATTATTGTATTAAATTTATATTTTTAAATAATTTTCATAAGCATAATATTTATTTATTTATATAAAATATAATATAATATGAAAAAATAATATTATGATCTCGAATGGACAATGATATTATTTTTCAATGTATAAGATCTATTTTTTAATAACATAAAGTTATATATTATTTTAATTAATTATATTTTTACAATCATATTATTTTTTACCTCATAAAATTATAAATAATTATATATTGAATATTAAAAAAATAAAAATAATTTTAAATACTCAAATTTATTAATATTTTACTAAATTAAACTCTTTGTATATTATTATTATATTTATAATTTTGACTAAAGTACCAAAAATAAGAATGAAAAAAGATCATTATAAAAAGAATTCATTAGTCTAGGAGCATTCTTGTCCAAAATGGTGAGAATTGTCTAATACCTAAGAATTTGGAGGTAATGACATTCACATCATTTTAACCAAAAAAATATTACTATTGGAAAAAAGATTATTCCCTAATAATAATCTTTTTTCGTAAACCAAACATGTGAATGCAATTCCGAAAAAGATTATTCCTCTTGATAATGTTCTATTTCGTGAACCAAATGTCCCCTAGCCAATAACTGGCTGTCCTAATTCTGGATTTGGGCTTTAAAGGCCCAAAAGAATTACCATTTTCGACTTTGGTCATTCAATCCATTGCTACTTTTTAATACTTGTATTAATATTAATTCACTTATTAGTAATTTGTAAAATATTATTTTCTTTACTTTTAAATTAATTATAAGATGATATTACGTGATTCACAAAGTACAATCCGTTAATTTAATTTACATTTTTTATAATTAGAAGATGGATAAATTTTGAATCTTAAATAAATTA